GGAGCGAAGCGAAAATTTTCGCGCCAACCGGAAACGAACCCGCATGCGTTTGACTTGAAAGCGAGACCAACACCACGAGGCCACGGTGGCACTGCCGAAGCATCGATCAGCAGCGCTTACGAGCCAGAACTCAAAGTTTGACCACCCAGATCTCGTCTGGGAGGTCCCCGTAGCACTTTTAATCTGCATATTCGTAATCAGCATTCGAGGCCCTATCAATGTACCTAGGTCTCCATTCAAACTTCTATGGGAAGTTCAAACCATTCCCTTGTGAGACACACGGAGTGGCGGTGTAAGCCCCCACAGTTAATGCAGTTAGTGTTACCGCATTCGCTGCTAGAATGATTAATCTCGAAGCATTTCCAGCAGCATCCGTTTTCTTTTAATATGTCTCGACGTCGTTGACAGTCCGTCACCATTCTACAGAAGAGGGATGTGTGATTGGTTTCATTGCGAAAAGCGCACCTTATTTGGTGGATGGGACTTTCATTCTTGGAACCACTGTTCCGACTTGTGTATATAAGTCCCAAGACGAGATTGGACGTAGGCTTTGGCAATTATCTCTTTGTCCAAGGCCTCCAATAGGGTTTCAATTTCCATAATATCAGTTTCCTGATGCTTAACGAGAACATCTTCAACGATCCTGTATGGAAACTTATTTAGTATGGCTTCTGACTACATGGGGTCGCTAGTTCGCCTTATATCGTACCTTGCCGACACCATTTGATTGACTAGGGTTTTGATTGTATCGAAGCATTCTTGGCAGCTTTCTGCATCCTTAGATGCCGCTTTAAGATCGAACAGTTTTGCACGATCTTTGATTTGTTTTCTGGCTTATTGCCATAACTTTTTCTAAGGGTTTCGGTCATCCATCCGTACTTTTTGGGGATAGGTTGGATGCCCTTCATACCTTTTCTGCTGCCCCCCCCCCCTTAGACTTTCTTTCAGTCGAACCAACTTTCCTATTTCGCTGATTTCGTCATTGTTATGGACCTTTCAAATATAAGCCCAAAATTCTGGGAACTCCTGTACTCCATAAAATTTGGGCAATTTGATGGTGGGGGCTTTTATCGCCCGATATCTTGCTGCTGTAATTAAGGGGTTAAGGGGTTTGACGGATTCTCGGAAACAAGAAGCTAACTTCTGTATTACCGCCACGCTACCGTAATCCAAAGCGGCGCCCAGTTAGTTGTAACTCGCGCTACAGCGTCGCGCTACAACGTAGCGCTACAGCGCCGCTTCGCAACGTACTGCAATTTCCAATGTTAGGAAGATTAGAGTTGCTTACAGAGAAAAGTGGGAAGGTAATTAATATGAAACAAAGAGAAGAGGGTTGAATACAGAAAGAACGAATACAGAATCCAATGTCGCTTATGGATTATGGAGCGAAATCTGCTTTTCAAATTTGCCCCAATCTCTGCCTGGATCACAGGAAAATGATTCATGCCGGTTTTCGAGGCATTCACAGCCAACAAAGCTTTGACAGTTTCTTGTACTTTTTTGGCCTAGGAGCGTAAAAATGGCCTTATCTCCCACAACAGGCACGCTAAGACTCTCTGGTCACCAATGCGTTAACACAAGGCAAACAAGAAGTTCCCTTATGGTTCTTCTGTCTCCGGTAAAGAAAACATGCGTGTGTGTTTTTAGGTGGCGCGAGTACTCTTTGGGTGTTTTTTGCGGAAAATGCTCTTAATAGAGCAGAAGGACACTGTTACGCTAAAAGCAGTACCAGAAAAATAGTGACTAATGGAGTAACTGTCAAGGATGGTCAGATAGTTACAGCTGTATCAGTCTCACCTTTCCGTGAATCTCTCAAGAAAACTCCAGCAACCTTCCCACTTTTCTCTGTAAGCAACTCTAATCATCCTAACTTTGGAAATTGCAGTACGTTGCTAAGCGGCGCTGGAGCGCTACGCTGTAGCGCGATGTTGTAGCGCGACGCTGTAGCGCGACGACGTAGCGCGACGCTGTAGGGCGACGCTGTAGCGCTACAACTATGAACGCTGCCTTACTTTCCCCAACACCTCCGTGACCATATCACGGTCGCATCTTTTCAAAAGCTGGCGGGTTCCCTAGAAAATACACAGTTCGCTATCGCACCCGATAGGGCCTACGCGCTTCCACCTAATTACCAACTACGTCGCATGCGGCTCCCCTTCACAAGCACGGAACGGCTTCACGTCGTGTACTAGTCGCATGCAGTACAACCGTGGAAACTCACCGCTAAGTTGCCAATGTCCTAGCGATTCTTTCCAGAAGCTTTGTGACAACCCACAAAGTAAATTACCTCTACAAACGCCTCATGTAAAAATAACTGCTGAGGTGTCGTTGCTACGCCCTAGAAGGAGGGAATGGTCTTAGGAATCGAGTCTAGGATGTTGCACAATGCAGCTGACTTGGTCGCAAGCCAAGAGTGTGAATTTCACAGTTTTGCTGTTATAACTGCGCTATCAGTGCTCATTTCACAGCCGTTTGCAAAACCCACATACAAGCCTCAATAACCGCGACCTGCGAGTCACACTAATTTATGGTCAGGTGTGGGCCATCCAACGAAACTGACAATATAGTCCTAAGTTGCGATCATCCAGTAGTGCACGAACAATGCTACACACATTGCTCGGAAAAGCCTACCAGATTTCTATTGAATGTTTCTCAAGACATTAAGTCTTCGAGAGAAAAACCAGCGGTGTCCCACTGAAACAACAATGGTTCAGCGATTTCACCATTCCAAGTCTCGATCCATCAATTAATGTGACAAAGGTCCACTGGAAACTAGCACTGACCTGCATTACTACCACATTAGGTCTAGCAGCCTTACCTAACTAGCAGGCCCACTCATTATTTTCTACATAGTGAAGGCAGGAATATTCTTTCTAGGCTCTTTGCTATCACGCCTCTGCAAAACTACTAGCAGACTATCCTCTGCAATAAGGGAATAGGCACTAACCGCAATAAACTCTGAGCTAGTGAAACCAGTTTCCCCATCATATGAAATGCACCCTTGCAACATCTAGTTGATCAGCACACAATTGATAAATGAAAACAATAAAAAAAAACGAGTTGCTACGGGGTAGTGAGTGACCTCTCTTCCCCTGCTGTGGCGTCGACGGTTTGCCGGGAATCCACTGGTGAGATGTATTTTGAAAGGACTGTGCCAAGAATCTTAATAGAGAACTTTTATGTGCATTGCAGGTAACAGAAGGAAAATGTACAATGCGAGTAAAACAAACAAAAATGAAATGATATCAACCGGCAGCGAAGGGTGAAAAAAGGGTCACAGTAATGGTGAGGGTCCACTATTTATACCTTTATTTGGCGGGCAAAGTATGCCCTGGGGAGGGAGAGGGTCAAAGGCGAGATCAGCAATGTACGGTGCTGGTACAGTAGGCTAGACGGCAATCATATGGTCAATAATATGCGATGAAGTGATTGGGTGGTCACGTCTCCCCCCCCCCCCACGGGAAGGGGCGTCCCGCCGCTACGGTCTCTTTCGATGGCGCGTATATCCCTTGGCGAACTGGCGGTTTGGAAACGGATCCGTGATGAGCTCGGCGGACGTGAGTATGGACGAATTCTCGTGTTCTGGTGGTCGAAATCCTTGTGCGATAAACGGCTCCTATTCAGCATACGATAATTCTGTTTCCTCTCTCTCTAAAATAGTTACGAAGTCTTTCTGCCCTTGCAGAGCATGCGGTCGAGTTCGTGAACGGCGGGAGGTGTATACCAGCCCTGACGTAGTCGGTCATCGCCCGAAAGTACTCCATCATTGCCTCCCTCGAGTAAGCATGGGCGTGTGACTGGCGAGGGTGGGCTGATGGGCCATGCGACGGTTCCAAGCTGCTTTCGAGCATCGGGATGAGGCTAATGATGTTGCGCGACATGAGCGATACTGATTTCTTGACGAGGTCGACGGCTTGATTCAGCTCCATGCGATTCCGCGCATAAGCTAAATCTCCTCTTGGTGGTGCCAGAGCCAACCACCTTTACTCCGTTACGTGCGGCTGTGGCGAACGCTGAGGCTACTCGGCACCAATCTTTCTTAGAAGGAGTAGCAGCTGTTGTTGGGCGCACGACGATGCATATACTTGCTTCCGCGGTGTCCAGCGAGTTGGGGACTTCCGATAGTTCCCAGTACACCCTCCTGTCGACATTCCGCTGTGGCTTGAAAGCGTCGCTCACATCCTTGAAGCCATCCGGAAGCAGCAGGAGCGTTCTTTGCTGCCTCCGAGCCGTCGCCACGCCGTCCTTCCACGAGTGGTTCTTCACGAACCTCACTCCCTCGCTATTCAGCTCATTCAGCTCGGTGATGGGAATTTCAGTACCGCCATCGTGGGGCGAACTCAGAGGGGACCCATCGTGCAACGTCAAGCTACGAAAGACGTGATCACGACAATGTTTGGAAAATATGAACGCTTTCTGGGCACCCAGATTGTCATGAATGAATACTTAGCATCAGTCATCAAGTATCGTCTGCGATCATCGTTACGTTCACTCTCGAAAATAGAAATAACACGTGCTAGACTGAAAATCATCGAAACAAATTTCATTAAGGGTCTCTCCAGCATTTGGAATCACATCTTTCAGCCGCTTCTCTCGAATCGAATCGTTGACGTCACTCGAACTACCATCGCGACTGTAATACCTGCCAGGGCATCGGAAAAAGGTTCCAAGCGCCTCGTTGTTTCCATCACCATCGAGCGTGGCCCTGCAAGAAACATGGTTCACATACGCATGTTCACGTTTAACTCTTCTTGCTTTTGTTTCTAGTGGTAGACTTTATATTTCTGCAGATAGGACTATGAGCGAATTAAACGGTACTCTGATTGGCTCTTCCTTTTCATCAATATGTGACAACAGCGCAGAATTTTCGCTGGTCTCAGTTACAGGATAGGGTCCTCCCCATGGTTCACACAATTTTGGAAACTTTTTACTAGCTTTTTCGCGGGGCAGCTTCAGAAAAACTCGGTCTCCTACTCTAGGAAATTTATTCGGATCTGTTTTATGGCGCTTATCATAGGCCTCTTTCATTCTCTGCTTGTATTTTACAGCGTACTCCTGCGCTAATCGAATCCCCGCTAGTAACTCATAATTGTAGCTATCAGCGTCAACGTGATTGAAGTTCTCGGTCTTGAGGTATTACACTGGACGAGTAGTTGGATCGATGGCATGTAGAAGGTAGAAGGATCTTTCACCCGTTGCATCATGAGGTGCCGAGTTGTACGCAAAAACCGCCATAGGAAGAAGTATATCTCAATCAGCGGGTATGACAGTCTTTTTCCTTAGCATTCTACTTAGCTTGCCGATCACTCTCTCTGTCATCCCGTTTTCCCTAGGATTATAGCCTTTTGTCGTTGACTGATCAATACCCGTAATTTCGCATATACCCGACAAGACAGAATTGATGAATTCGGAGCCTTGGTCAGAATGGATGCGCTTGGGCCATCTACAGCCTTCACAGATCCACCGCTCGAACAACACTCGACTATCAACTATCTTCGCTGTTTTGTCTAGTATGGCATAGGCGCCAGCGAACTTGGAAAAATGGTCTATAACTACCAAGGCATACTTGTTCCCCCTCTGTGTCAGGCCATACACCACCAAGTCTATCCCAGTCAACTCATACCGTGGTATCTGCATTTCGTGAGTGCGAGACAGGAAACAACTCGAACATTCCCTCGACCACTTCGAGATGTCCTCCATGCCTTCCCAGGAGACAGTCTTTTTGAGCTTACAATACAATCTGTGGGCATTGAGGTCTTGCTAGCAGACCTCCATATGCCTCGTTAAACAACTCTCTCCTTTTTCACTTAGGCACCACTTTTACTATGGAATTTTCCAGAACTAACTTCAATTCTCCCTCATCTATAAAGAAGTCGCCCACACGAAATCTCCGGGAGCATCTGGGCAGTTTCACGTCTTTGTAATCGTTACCTACGTTGATACTGTTCTCCCTATAATCGTCATCCTCTCTCAGTTCTTTGAGCCATTCGCTACCTTCCGTTGTCACCTCGCTGGTAAACACACCTGCATTCTGGTCTACACTAGAGTCACCACCTTCTGTTAAGCTTATCGGCTTTTCCGGCCACATATTCTGGCATCTGCTACTGCGTTGGCTTTTCCGGCTACATATTCTATCTTCAGGCGGTAATTTTGGACTTCCAGAGCCCATCGCGAAACCCTTGCCGAAATGTTTGTCCTTTTGAATAGACATCTAAGTGGTTGGTGATCTATTACATGATCTACTACATCAAGTCCGTAGACAAAAAAATGAAACGTTTTCAGGGCAAACACCACTGCGAGTGCCTCCAAGTCCGTTGTATGATAATTCTTTTCCGCTTTTGTGAGGCTCTTGGACGCGAAAAATAGGGCGGAGCAGGTGGTTGTCTCCCAGCTGGCATAATACAGCCCCTACCCCATCTTTTGACGCATCTGTATAGATGATAAATGGTCGTGTTCCATTTTCTACTGCCTTTACGTTTGGTTGCGCCAGCACGGGAGCGGTAGTCAGCGCCCTCTTCAAAGATTCGAAGCTGGTTGACTCGTCCTTTGTCTATCTCCACGCATTTTTGAGACTAGTCAAGTCGTATAGACATCTAGCAAGCTGTGAGAATCCCGCAATGAATTTTCTATAGTATGACGCCATCGTATGACGCCATCCCAAGGAAAATTCTCAATTCTGATATGTTTTAAGGTATAGGGTATTCGACAATCTTTACCTTCTCAGAAGCCGTACTTACCCCATCCTTGTCTATCAAATGGCCCAGAAAAGACACACTCTTTCTGAAGAACTCGCACTTCTGGGGCTTTAGACGTAGATTCGCCTTACGTAGCGCTCCCAGCACAGCGTCTGAAACAACATAATGCCGTTCTAAAGTATCCGTGGCGACCAGTATATCGCCAATATATACGAACACCTCTTCTTCCAAACCTACCTCTTTCAGAACCTTATCCATCATTCGCTGGAAGACTGGTGGATAGCCCAAATGGCAGCACAGTAAACTGGTATAGCCTCTCACTTGTCGTAGAAGCACTTTTCCTTTTTGCTTCTTCCGGGAGGCGGATTTGCCAGTAGCCGGAAGCTAAATCTATTGTGGAAAAGACCTTCTTCCCGCTTAGACACTGTAGTACTATGTCAATCTTTGGAAGTGGGTACGAATCATGTCAAGTGATCTTGTTTGGTTCTCTGTAGTCGATGCAGATGCTGAGAGATTCGTCTTTCTTCTTGACAAGCACTACCGGCGAGGCCAAATCAGATGAACTTTGCTCAACTATTCCATGACTGACCAAATCTTTTATCAGTCCTTTGAACTCGTTGTGCACTGCTACTGGAACTGGCCGAGTCTTTTGTTATGGGCTTATGCTCTCCGGTGTCGATGTCGTGGACTACCAGGTCAGTCTGAGTCAACTCCCAGTCGCTTACGGCGGAAACGTTGAATTTCGACACCAGTTTCTTCGTTTTATCCGTGACCATGGATGTTTCCCGAAGTTTTTCCAATAGTTTATGGAGACGATCCTTCCGAGAGCTCCATTCCCTGGGCTTATCTATGTCCAACATGTCCCTGCTATGCTCGACATGTTTGGGCTTCACCCATTCCTTATTCTTGCACTCTCCAACCGTCTGCCCTTTTCTGAACACTACGCCTTGATCAGGTAAAATTGCTTCATAATCCTCAAGATGGCAAATCGTCTATGAAGAGTGGACGTTGTGCCGAGAAGACAGCCGTTTCGGACTGATATGTATGAGGGCACGTTACCGACAGAAGCTTTCGCTCCTGGGGGAATAAAGATTCTCTGTTCAACATCAGCTCTCACTTCAGCGTCCTCCTTTTCGCTATTTGAATCTAGTTTATCTGAATGCTGTATGTTTTTCTTCTCCACCTTGAACTAACGTCATGTTAAAGCGTTCTAGTGCGTTGGTTCCTAATATTACTACTTCATCGAAGCCCTTATCAACGTACACAGGAATTGATTCCTCCTGTCTGTTGAAGATTACGGACACTCTGATAGTATCAAGAAACTTCATGCAGTTCCCCGACACGTCCCTTACTTTTACTTTCGGAGAAGGTATCCACTCAACGTAATCGTCAGGTTTATCCCTGCATCTATCGCCTTCTTAAGCATCAAAGGGACTATGGTCGCTTGCGATCTCGTATCCAAGAGCACCTCTGCCGACATGCCAAAGATTGTAATTTCAACTACTGACCGTTTACCGAAATAGTCAGTTGAGACCTCGTCGGTTCCCGTGTCTGCAGAGCACATCCACCTTTCAACGCGTGCGAGAAAGGTTTCGATGGCCTTCTCGTTCGCTCTGTGGGTGTAGGAGTCTTATTCTGCCGAGCTGGCAGCCGACAGTCTTTAGCAAAATGCCCTGGTTTCCCACAGCTGTAGCACGACGGCAAGTCTTTTGCTGTGCTGTTTCCTGCATTCTTTCCGCGTTTGTCCCCGACTCCGACTTGTTGTGGCCTAAGGAGGATCTTGGTTCGTCTTCACTCCGCCCCCAATTTGACTTGAATCGCTGTGTTGACTTGACTTGAATCACTTATCACGGCGCGAATTGATCACCAAAGTAGTGATTACGCGACAATAGACAACGAGTTCGACAAGAATAAATGCTCTTCGCTTTGCACAATTGACCGTCAGGCAACGTTCAAGTAACGTCCCTCCTTTCTTGGCCAGTACCTCTTCTGAACGGCTGCCAGTAGTTGTGAACAGCTGATCAATATTGACCCTGGGCCAATTAGTCCAGCTCCCGACTCCCTTTTCACTCTCCTTCACCGTGTCGTCACGGGATACAGCTAGGGAGCTCAATCTCGGTACCTCCTATCCAGGTTGGTTCAACCTGGTTCCCAAGGAGAGCCCTGTTCGACTTCCTTTAAACTGCATTTCACCGTGTCTGCACGGGATACAGCTCAGAAGCTCAAATCCTTGTCCTTTCCTCCGAGTTGGTTCGACCCCTTTCTAAAGGGAAGACAACAAATCCAGCCCTTTGACTTCCTTTTTGCTGCCTTTCACCGTCTCTCCACGGGATACAGCTGAAAGCTCAAACTTGGCACCTTCTGTCCAAGTTGGTTTGGCCCCCAAGTTGCTACGGGGTAGTGAGTGACCTTTCTTCCCCTGCTGTGGCGTCGACCGGTTACACCGGGAATCCACTAGTGAGATGTACTTGAACGAAGGACTGTGCCAAGAATCTCAATAGAAAACTTTTATGTCAATTGCAGGTAAGAGGACGAAAGTGTACAATGCGACAAATAAAACTAACAAAAATGAAATGATAGCTTCGGCAGCGAAGAGTGAAAAAAGTCTCACAGTACTGATGAGGGTCCACTATTTATACCATTACTTGGCGGGCAAAGTATGCCCTGTGGGGGTCAAAGGCGAGATCAGCAATGTACGGTGCTGGTACAGTATGCTAGACGGCAATCATATGGTCAATAATATGCGATGAAGTGATTGGGTGGTCACGTCTATCTGGGTGGTCAAATTTCTGAGTCCTGGTCGTAAGCGCTGCTGGATCAGATGCCTCGGCAGTGCCACCGTGGCCTCACGGTGATGGTCTTCGCCTTCAAGTCAAACGCCATGCGGGTTTGCTTCCGGTTGGTGCGAAATTTTTGCTCCGCTCCGTACAAGAGCTTCAACTCTAATTTCCGAAATTTTTTCCGAATTTAGCAGTGGCAAGTAGATCAGTACATCTAGTATACGACGTACTCGATCTAGTATGGATTTGATATCTGCCCTCTCTGTACAATATTACCCATCGGACATGCAAAAGTTTTTGCCCAGAATTCGCATTTTGGCCAGACGAGCGTTTTTTCGTCGAAGATGTGATATTCGTGTCAGGGGGTCGAAATCTCCCATGAACGAATTCTCGCCAAAATTCGGCATGGTTAACCTGTTCAGAGAGGGCAGATTATGACCAAATCCATTACTAGATCGAGTACGTCGTATACTTGTATGTACTTGATCTTGGCTCTGCTAGGCCGTAAATTCGGAGAAATTTTGAAAATTAGAGTTAAAAGCTCTTGCTTACATATTCGTAATCAGGATGTTAAACTACCCCTACATACAAGTTTTTAGCGGATTTGGGTAACTTAGTCAATTTAAAAATGAGCTCGGTGCCGAAGTTGCTGGAGTCCAAACGGCATTAGCCCGGAAAGTGCAGAATGGCGGAATCTGCAGAAAAGCAATAGATACTCATCGACTTGAAAAAATGCAAAACCGAAACTGCAGGAGCGTGGAAAGTGCAGAAATGACGAAACGTATTACATACGTATCGATCTGAAGAAATGCAGAAATGTCGAATGTGAAGAAGTGTGGAATCTGCAGAAATGCCGAAAGTGCGGAAAAACGGTACGTTTGAATTGCTTTTCGTCATTTATGCAGATTCCGCACTTCTTCACTTTCGGCATTTCTGCATTTCTTCAAATCGATACGCATGTAATGCTTTTGTCATTTTTGCACTTTCCGCACGCCTACAGTTTCGGCATTTCTGCATTTCTTAGTCTATGAGTATCTATTGATTTTCTGCAGATTCCGCACTTCTGCATTTTCCGCATTTCTGCATTTCTTCACGAACGCAAGGTATGAACGCGGCCTAACGGTCTTCTAACTGTGGCAGCAGGGATGCCATTAAGGCAGTCCAAATGATCATAACTATCCCTGGGGTGGACTTGATTGTTCATAGACAGGACATTAGTATTGCAAAACGCCGTAGTGCACTCACTAACACCATTCATTTGTAGTGGCACTTATAGAAAACAAGTTAATGTACTTTTCTTGCTTATATCATTGATTCAGTGTCAAGGCTTACTCATCGGACATTTTTTGACTGTGCTTTTCATAATGATTAGGTACTTTGGATATTGATGTCATGGAGTATGATACATACAGACTCGCTAGTGTATATGATTCCACGACCGTATAAAGTCGGACCGAAAATAGTTTTCGCGATATGTAACCCCGATGGGGTTCGACTGGTGATTACATTCGAACGAACTAGGTCGTAGTAGTAGTCGAGACTGACTAAGATTTGGGGAACTTGACGTTCACCTCGGATTTTTGAATTTGCGATGAAGATTTCTCGGTCTTGGA